TGGTCTTTGATTTTTTGAAGAAGTTTGAACGGCATAGAAATCTCTACTGCAAAGCGTGAAGTTATTTGCAGAGAATTTAGAAGGCCAAACCTATGTGGCGACCACCCCAAAACTCTGGGATCAAGTCGGGAAAGATAAGCATCACATCGAGGAAACAAGCTTTTGCCTGGAAATGTTTGTTTTATTGTCAAAGAAAACTGAAGACAAAACGCAGACTTTTTCTCTTTCAGATAGAAATATTCGCACTTCATTCGTAAAATCAGCTTTTTCACATACGTCAATCACTCTCTCCCAGCACTTATTGAATGCTTCATGCATTAGCCGCATAACCTGAAAACAAAGTATTCATTGCCGCTAACTGTTCCTACCTTGAGATTGGTTACCTTTGCACTCACTCGATATGAGGGTCGGCTAAGCTCAGTTTCGAAAAACTGACGTACTTGTTCTGTGTCATCGTCGTTAAGCGTTTTATAGAGCAAATTATGTTGTTTGATAAATGTCATAACCTGAAAAAACAGCTCAATCAAGGTAAATCACCGGTGACCTTTAAAGCTTACTTTATAAGCAGAAATAAAGTCTCGATGCAAAGTAAATTCTGAAAGAGACAACAAGGTCTTTTCTTGCTTTTCCTCAAATAATGGCACTCTTCTCATAGTAGCTATTTTCATGTAAATAATCTTAAATATTACCTCCTCAAGTTGAATTTCAGACAAACTCCGCAGTGATCTAGCTCGTGCACTTCTGTGGCGTTTGCTCTAAAGATCATCGTTTTCTTAGTCTGACACGATTCACGAGTTACGATTTTTTACACTGCAGTCAAACACTTTCTGGTCAAACTTACCTTTCTGGAACGTTTCGAGCCTCTACGTCTTGGACTCTTAACAGACGATGTTTTCCATTTGAATATTTTGGTTTGTACTGGATACGTGACCGGTCTCACAGTTGCTTCGATTTTCTCAAACACTGTTTTTGTTGTTCTGGAAATCAAGTGGAAGAATTAACTTGATCAGCTGCAATTTTTTCTCGAGCACTACTTATGTACCCATCATCTCTGGTAAGGCAGATCAATGGAAACAAGGTTTGAAGGACAATTTCGGCAGTTGAAGATGAGGTTAAAACGAGGAGGACCTGCACTTACACCGCGCAAACGATCGCGATGACGTCCATCAAAAACCTAGCGAAAGCAGGGAAAATGTGAGACTGCTGAGCGCCCACTCTACATAAAGAAGAACTTTTCTGGACAATGTAACACTGCAAGAGCTGGTCATAATTTCTGTCTGCAAGTTCGATCATGAGCATCGATTTTTTTCGAGCCATAAGCACGAACCGAATATATAAAGATGTGGAGCTCTCAGCCATCACACTCACCAAGTCTCAACTAACAGAGCAGCAGAAGAGAAGCGCCAAGCATTTTGTATGTACTTGAAATGATTTTATAGAAGGCCAGTCCTGCGATTTGAAACGAAGATTGGAGCTGGATGGTCGCTACCTGTACTTCATGCTAGTACCCGACCACACTCGGTGGATATCCCAATATTATACACTTCACTGCGGAATGGCAGCCATTCGAGTAAAGTAGGACCGCT